TAAAGCCCATGAGTGCGTCAGCTTATTTGACAGGCATCCATGCATTTTCCTGTTTTTTCTGATTATTTGATAAGGAAAAATGCTAATACTCCTGAACCAAAATAACCTCCATTTGAGAAATGTCTTGGGAAATAATTTTTATACAATATACAATATCACATATATTGCTATATTGCCTGTTTTTGGGTGCTCGACTTCACTCTGTATGTCAACATTATGAGAACCATACTAATAAGGTTAGAGGGAGCATCTCTGTTTCTCATGATGACACCTTTATAAATGACAGGAGCACAAGGCCCTGCTGCTGTTCAATCACACCTCTGCTCGGCTTGCCCGTGGGGAACTCAGCATGTGTGGTGTGCAAGCGCGTGTTTGTGCTTTACTGCCTCGGTGGTTCTAACGGCAGCCAGGTTTACGGTGAATGTAGTTGGAGCGGACAACAGCATTAGGGAGGAAACAGATCTGGAGGCAGAGTGAAGACGAAGGAGAGAAATGACAGCCTGGAGCTCATCTGACCAGCACTGCCTTGTTATGACTCTCTGATATGTGCTCCAGGGGCACACAAAACAGACACTTATTGCCTTACACCACCTCTCTCTGTTCTGTAGTCTGTTGTCTTGCAGACTCTCTTTATGGCCTCTACAGAAGGGCGGGAGGTTATCTTCTTGTGCAGTTGTCTGCCTTTTCTTTTTTTTTTTCTCTGTTTATGCCAGTGTTTCAGAACAGGGATGATTTTAGGTTTGCAAAGAAGGTTTCTCACATTTTCTATAACATCAAATCCTGTTCTTATATGACTATTTTTACTTTGATTGCAGGATAAACCTAAATCACAGAATGAAGAAAAGACCAGGCTAATATTTACAATTTATCAACACATTTTCGCAGATATACAGAGTTTCTCACACATAGACGTTGCTTAAGTTGCTTAAGTGAGGATTGTATAGCTTTCCTCATAGAGTATATGTTAGGAGTCAAATTGAGATAAACAAAGTTAGTGGCTAGTTATTTTTTGTGGGTTTCCTCACAGCATGCAAAAGCTTTAGAAACACTTCTGAAAAATGGCAGAAAAGCAGCAGGCAAATAACAGGAATGACATCTGGAAGACAGCAGGTGGTAATCTCCCCACAACGCTATTCCTCTTATAGTTCTCTGTAAGCTGCTGGGAATGGTGGCCTACATCAGCAACAAAGGGGAAGGGGCTTCTGTGTTTGGCAACATTCATATGCACACATTCATATGAATGTTGACGTGAACTGTCTGCCGGTGATGATAATTGAAGAGAAAACAGGGAGGTGACTGTGAAGCTTGCAACACCTCTGCTATGAACACAGGCCACTGAATTGACTGCAGCGTCATCATTCCTGACCATAAAAGCTGCTCAGCCAGTCAATGCAGTCTGGCTTCATTCTCTCCTCGCTGGACAGTCTGAGCTATTTTTAGCCTCCCCGTGCAGCGTGGCTCAACCACCGCCGTAGCTACCTGGATATGAGGGCTTTGTCACTCCTGCAGGCTGGAGCAGCAGTGATCTTGCAAGCCTTACAGCTTCCTATTTCCTCAGCTATTTCCTCAGCTGGAAAAAAGGAAAAAAAAAACAAACTCCAACAATGAAGAGAATGAGAAAACACACAAAAAAGAGAGAGAGAAGGCAAACAGATAATAGTGGTGTGTGCTTCAGAGTCTAAATGAAACAACAATCCCAGTGTTGTATTAACTTATGTGATGTGACAAGGCAGAAATAAAATTCTAATGAGGCAAGCTGACACTTTCTATTCATGAAAATGCTAAGTTAAAGCAATCCAAGCAATTATAGACTAATTGGTTTTGAATCTAATAAAAAGGAAAAGTCTCTTTATAAGGGCACTGTTGATGGGATTATTCGAAACGATAGGTAACATTTATGGTAATGTAACTGAGTTTAAACTCAAAATAACAGTCTGATAATAGGTATACATGTTTGCTGGGATTCCTTAAGACTAGTAGAGCAACGGTACTGCAGAGTGCCTTTTCTTGTGTTTTACATGCATTGTTAGTCACAGACATTTTGTTTGGGTTGTCTTTTTCCTGCAGGTATACAAACCTGTGCCTATTAATCAGCATAATATTATTCAGTATTCCCTGGCATGGTAAACAAATGCTCCAAACGGATTCATTTGAAATGACTGTGCTGCAATCCCACGGTGCATTAGGGCTGTTTAAATGCACTGAGCGCTCGACGACACTCACCTGGGGTCCCTCACGGTAGTTTCTCTTTTTTGTTTCTCCAGAGTCTATTGATCCTGGCACCCACTACATCATATTGCACGCGCAGCTTAAAGTTTGATCCACGTTGCATCATTCCTTGGTGGCAGTTTTACTGAGATACATTTGGAGTTGTAATTTTTTTATAGTCCTGCTCCGAAGCGAGAGCCAGGCAGAGGTAGGTTTTCGGTGCAGTTTGGTAAATGGCCTGTATTTGTATAGCACTTTTCTAGTCCCTAAGGACTCCAAAGCGCTTTACACAACCTGTCATCCACCCATTCACACACACATTCACACACTGGTGATGGCAAGCTACATTGTAGCCACAGCTGCCCTGGGGCGCACTGACAGAGGCGAGGCTGCCGGACACTGGCGCCATCGGGCCCTCTGACCACCACCAGTAGGCAACGGGCGAAGTGTCTTGCCCAAGGACACAACTTGAGGAGGAGCTCGAACCGGGAACCTTCCGATTACAAGGCAAACTCCCAACTCTTGAGCCACGATCGCGATGATTGTCTGTCAGCAAGATTATGCAAAACCTACCAGGCTGAAATTCGTGAAGCTTGGTGAACTCATTGGCCTTGGTGAAGGATACGCTCTCCTAGTGCCCTTCTAGTATTTAAATTGAACTCAAGTCACCAACAGGCAACACTAGCGAGTGATGTAACATGAAAACTTTGAGTAGCATGTAATTGCTCGGATCCTCTTTAAAATCTGTCAAGTTGGACAGCCATCTGAGGATGTCCTGCCAAAGATAACGCATCCCAGACCCACTTTTCTGTGTGTGGGTCTCTGTGGCATAATTCAGCTCCTCCAAGAGTGGTAATCTGAGGATTAATGACATCCACACATCTGACAGTCATGTGGCAGTGTGACACAGATGGCAAGGAATGCACACAAGGGACACAGATGGGGAAAATAGTGACTCTGGCTTTCTGCCATTCATCCACTACACTGTGTTGTTGCAAAGGTGTAATATTTTAGTCTTAACTATAAACAAACAAATGCAATCAAAAAATGAACCATTCACAGGGGAGGTAATGAGATGAACATAATATATATGAAAATCAAAAAATCTGCAATCATAACACATTTTTTTTTAAACCCTACAGATGTTGTTTAACAGTCTTTGGGCAACGTTTTTTGTTCAGATTTGCCCATCCAATAAAAGAAAGACAGGATACATACAAACATATACATATACGGCGATCATTATTGTAAGATTTAACAAATCCAGCTGCTTCAGCTGAAATAGTCTCTTCACTCATATCACTGAGATGATGTTTGGAAGTCGCCAAAATATGTGTCACCTATGAAAACAATAATAGGCTATGAAAAAGTTCAATTTCTTGTGTCCCAGTTGTACTGTAACATGGGACTAGGGCTGGGGCGATCTCCTTCATAGCCTTATCGCCCCCCTGTGTGATCACCAGTACCCAGTGCTAGTGTTGCCAGGGAGGGGGATGTTTTTAATCTCTACCCATTATGGTAGCACTACCCACCCTTTATAATACACAGTGTGTAGCCCAAACACAAGAAAACCCACACACAGCCTGTGTGTGTGTGTGTGTGTGTGTGTGTGAGAGAGAGAGAGAGAGAGAGAGAGAGAGAGAGAGAGAGAGAGAGAGAGAGACAGAGAGAGAAATAGAGAAAGAAAGAGAGAGACCATGGGGAGATTATTTGCCACTTTCAGCGTGATGAGACACACGTGAGGATATACCAGCAGGAGAGCCCCATTCACATACAGAGATGAATTATTCAGCAATTCAGTCTATTGTAATTAGTGACCATAAACAGATGAATATCAAAAGACCATGTAAAGTCATAATATTAAACATGGCTTTTTTATGCTTATTTGTCTTTAGGTCTATAGTACCGCTAAGTCATTCAGCCTGTTTTTATATTGGTGTGATAAAACTCTTTACTATTCTTTCAAACACACACATTCGGTGGAACAAACTTTAGTAGTTGGGCTAAACTAGCATCTCTGTAAAGACACAGGACAGAAAGGCTGTTGTCTCTCATTTTGAGATGAGGGGAACACATCAAAGATCGCAGAGGTGTGAGCGTGTTACCGTGCGTGTCCACGCCGTTGTCACAAATGACTACAGTCAGGCATATTAAATTTCATATTAATCTGATAATAATAATGATAATCTTAACTGAATGGATTAATGGGAAAGTTGCTGTGATTGGCCAGCTATCTGCAATCACACCAAGCATGGTCAGTCCCCAGAGATCATCATCCACCGGCACAGCTCTACATGGAAATTGTTAAAAAATAATTTTCTCTACTTGCTCTATTTTGTAGGGGTGTTGCATTTACTTACATTTCTTATGTGGCGCCACCATCAATGGATCCCACAGCAATAGTGGCAGACACTGTGGCTGATGTGTTAGGAGTCCCATTGGCTTTCAGTGGCACAGTAATAGCACATATCCAATATGGAGGCAGAGAAAAGATGATCCTAACAATGCCTCTGGCAGTGCCTCTGGCTACATGGCCAATGCAGACACACACAAATGCACACACTCGCTCTGTGTTTTGCCTTCCTTGGAGGAGCAGAAGAGCAGGCACATGTGTCTCCCCGAATTACTTTAAAGAAAAGGCAGTGGGAGTGATTCTATTCTTGTAGGAGAAAACACAGTCAATTCTGATTTCATAAAACAACACTCTCACTCACTGTGCATGTCTCCTTCTGTTTAAATCTTTATTTTGCTCCTTTCTCTTAATTACCATTTTCTCTTTTCTGCCTGACCAGGTGGTGGGTCCCAGAGCTTCCAGGGTTTTTCATGAGTGCCCTGCCAAACCAAGCACATTCCGCAAATACTACGAGCGTGGGGAGCTTCCGATTGCAGTGAAACATGAAAACCGAGGGAACAGTATTGCATGGAAGGTAGGGACGCTACACTCTGATAAGAGATGACTTATCCTTGTGGTTTTCACAATCTAATGTATTGAAGCAAAGGCTGTAACGCTGTATGTCAGAAAAAAAAGATACTTTAAATAACCTTTGGGAGCAATACAAAGCTAATAGCAGCAAATTAAAGTATTGACAACCTCAGCAAGGCCATCCTTTGATAATAACCCCAACAATCTCAATTCTGGAATGAAATACAACTAAAGTCTTTTTTTTTTTGCACTGTCTAACGTTTCAAACCATCCTTGCTGTCAAATACATGTGACGGTTGAATCTGAAGACTTGATAAGTGCTGTGCAAACACCGTTTATCGTCATCATTATCGACTCGGCTGAGGTGAAGATGACAGTTTCTCACATATTCACAGGCCCAGTGTGGGCTGTTATCCTGTAGGAGGCAGTGTAGATTAGCTCACTCGAAAGGCTTCACCTGTCCCACAGCACCAGTCAGAGAATCCATCAATCACAAACTCCATAGGAACTCAGGGCAGTCGCAGCAAAAACTCAGGGAGTGACTGTGTATGCATTTGCAAGTTTATTGTATATGTGTGTTTCAACACTCCGCTCTGAACCGTTGCAGCGTGGGTAGAATTGATGCATTTTGGAGGGTTTTTTCTAATCACCATGTTGCTTTATTTCAGCTCCCACTATGCTGCCAGCTATTCCATAACTTCACAACTGCATGCAGCCGCTATGCTTAATGGCATTTATTCATAGTAAGCAATGATAAATGAATCAAGCAAATTATGCCCCCTTCCTCTTTCTTTTTTTCCTACTTCAAAGGGAGAAGGAGAGGTGGGTGGGTGAGTGAGTGAGCTTTCTTGCTAGTTAGCTGTCTGTCTTCAGGTGAAAACACTGTAAAAGCATCTCCCTTTGAATGAATTATTTATGTAAAGTGTTCAAATGAATCTATGTGTTTGGAAAAAAAGTAATGGATTTCTTTTGTGTTTTGCCGATGAAAAAAACACTCAGTAAATGGGATGTGGTGTATGTAATTGTTGCTGTCATACTCAGTGCTGCTGTTATGCTTATTGATCCTCCCTCCCAGCACTTACACACAGCCTCATCATTTTTTAAATCCTCGGTAAGAGAAGGGCTTTCCTGGGTGCTCGTTCACACTTAGGGCTTGCACTTTGAAGCATCTTTGGCGGTTATGTTCGTTTTGACTTTCCTGAAGTGATCTTTTAGTCCAGGACTAGCTTTAATCCATGTCTGGGAAACCTGCTGAATATGACTTATTTTAGCCAGCCTCTTGTTTACTGGAGGCAGCCCATGTTGCACTGTATGTGTGGGTATACTGTAACAAAAAGTGCAGCTATGATCGGAGTAAGTGGAGAGGGGTTGCTGCGTGTTTGCACTGAGCTGCCCTCGGGGCAGGGGTTCAAGACGGCAACTCAGGATCAATCCCGGTCTGAAAACACAGCCCCCTAGCAAATAAAAAGTCTGGGGAAGGTAAGTAACAGAGAGAGCCTTTCGCAAAGAAAAATGACTGGTATGTTTATTTAGCTTGTGTGCCCATGTATACAGACTGTGAGCATATATGTGTATGCTGTACATATCAGCTTCTACTGTCACCTGATTAGTCTGTGCATTCAGGTCAGCAGTTCAAGCCCCCTACAAAGATTTTTTTATCCTTATTTACCTCTGCAAAGCAGCAAACATCAACGCCACTCACTTCTCAAATTGACCACAAAATAGACAAACAGGCTTCATGCACAGCCAAACAAATCTTTGCCATCAATATCAGCATTTCGCTTGTAAAGGTGCAGACAGGTAGTTCCTTTTTTCCCTATTTCCACTTACAGTACATAGTCATAGTCTTTCTGAGCAGCAGGGTGAGCAGCATGTGTTACTGGCCTCTCAATGAATCACCAGCTACACGTTATTAACATTTCTCCTCTTACAGTGTAGTAGCCCGCCGCTGGGGCTGTAGGCAGTTGCACGAGTTAATATTCTGGTGGAAAATCAGATATGTCATAACTTACTGGCAACACATTTTGTTTCCGAAACATTGCTACGTGGCAGAGAAGAGGGGGCTATTCCCACTACTGGTTTTCCTACGTGTATAAATCCAGAATAAAACAATAACTACTCCCAGTTTTGCTCCTGTGATCAGACATTTTTGCACGATTGTTCATTATGAACATGAAGCTTATTTGAAAAAAATATTTCAGATTTTGCCTTTAACCTCTTCTTCTTTGTTGTTTTAGTTAGTTTGTTTGTTGTTGTTTTTACATTTTTATTAGAACTTGGATTTTCCCTATTTAGCCAGCTAATTAGAGTACTTTTATGCTACAACAATGCATGTGACTCCTTTGACAGTTAGAAATCAGAGAGGAGACTCTAACTTACTTTTTACACATGGTTGTGAAATAAAGCAGGTTGGTGTTTTTGACTTTTGGAAACTTCTCTACTGTTAACTGTGAAATGTCAGACCAGAATTCACTCATGCTTTCCTTTTAGTCGGTTCAAGTACCGCTAAAAGAATGTCTCTTTCACTCACTAAATGCTTTCTTCAAGAGTGACTCAATAGATAAAACTCTCCTCCACATCTCGCTGGGCGGGCAGTGTGGAATTGTGAGCACTGCTGTGCATAACTGCAGATTATAGCGTTCACTCACAGGGGAATGGGCTCCAAACCAACCAAATAATTTAACAGGTCTTCATATAAATTAATGTTCATATTTTAAAAAGTGTGTAATTGGGTTTTTAAGGAGTAGTTGGTTAACTGAAGAACAAAACTTCTTATAAATGCGTGGGAATTATTAGGCACGGGTGATCCATTATGATCACAGAGACGTGTGGCTTGCCGGTGTATGTGTGGCTTTATAATGTGTGGTTGAGTCTATATGTTCAGGGGGAAAGCAAGTGAACCAAATGTCAAGGGCAAGTTGAAAAAGGAAAGGTTGTATCTGAAAGGTAATTTGGCTCTCCAGAGGTAAAAGCCTCAGCTGTAATGGGGCGCTCAGGTAAAAGCTTTACACGTATGGGGAACATGTGCGGCAGGTAGATAAGAGAGTGTCGAGCGAGTTCCTATCCCTGTCTATGTGTTTTTGTGTGCCTGTGTGTTTGTGTGCCGTGTTGTGTGTGTGTGTGTGTGTGCATGAGTGCTTGTATGGTTTGTGCTTGTATTTGGCCACTGCCATAACGTAGCAGCCAAAGGCCTGGAACAGCAGTGTAATCTACAGCGATCCCTGGTGCCAAAAAGAGAGCGACAGAGAAAGAGAGGGAACAGAGAGAGGGAGACAAAGAGAGAGAGAGAGAGAGCTCCACAGGGACTCAGCAATCAGGAGACATGGCAGCCGTTTGGCTCTCAGTTATAATGGATGAGTTGAGGTCTTCCTGCGTTCCCTGCGGGGCTTGGTTTGACTCCCCATCTCTACCCTCCGCTGTGCTCTGCAGGCTTACAGCCAGACATCGTGGCACTCAGATACATGCACACGCGTTCACCTCACATGTACTATAAACCCCCTAAACAGTCTTGTATATTTCATTTCATTGATTGCTTATCTGTTTTATCTTGTCCCTTGATCTTATGTTCAGCTCTGTGTTTCTCTTGTATGCTTCCAGGTTGTTGTTTTATTTTCCTTTTTTTTTTTTTAAATCATGCTTGTCAGCCCCCTCCCCTCTCCCAGCCCATCTACTTTATCTATTCCCTTTTGTCCAAGGCCTGTTTAGGGGCAGCAGGAAAAAGCCATTTTATAAAAATATCAATGCAAACCGGATTTCTGCTCGTCCTCCGCCACCACACTGACTTCGGCCAGTATAAGGGGGCGCAGAGATGCTGGTGGTGGGTATGGGGAGGGGACAATCAATTAATCTGATCAAGCGCTTTAGGAAATGGAGAGCGTAAGCGCTCCTAGGGGACGGATATCCATCTCCTTGGGATGATTGAATTACGCACAGAGTGAGAGTTGGAGAAGAGGGAGGGCTGGAGAAATGAGGTGGTTAGGGTGACCGAGGATGAGGGTGCATGTACTTGAGAGATGCAGTGGGAGTGCGCGCTTGATACAAATGAAAGATAGACAGAGAATGAAAAAAGAGCACGGGAAAAAGAGTGGGGTGCACGAGAGATGAGGTCATTGCAGATACAGCAGTGGAAAGGAGCCTTCCTTCCTGCACATCCTCTTTTTATACCATCTAACTATTTGCATTTTTATGTGTAATACCTTATAGTTGATGACCCCCTCTTTTTGACAGCTGTATTACATATTATCGGTGTATTCTTGTTCTTGGGAGTCAATTTAGTAAACTACTGCTTTCGAGTGATTTTTCACTTATTTAATAGCAAAGTGAAACACAGTCTGCGTGTGCACCAGCAGTAAGGTTATGGCATTTGTTCCACTGTCTCACACCTAAATTAGCTATTACATGATTCATAGTTTTCATGTCTCAGATTATCATTGACAGAAGGTTACTGTAGCATGATGCTAAAATTATCCACTGAAGTTTTATTCAGACATTAGAAACCTTAAAGTAACCCATCTAAGAGCAAATACTTTTCCCAGCCAGAAGTACGGCAGCAAAGCACTTCCCCAACAGCTGTTTCATAAATAAGCTTCAGCAAGTGGGCTTTTCCATTGTTTTTTAAGATGCACATTATGGTGCAACATCTTGCTTGGAAATACTGCTCCTTTTGCAGAAAATGACCTTCTCTTTAATTTTGGTGAATACATACCATACCCCCCCTTTCTGCTCCTTGGCAATGATGTCTTATCTGCTGTGGGCACTAGAGCTTTGTCAGGGAACCTTTGAATAGACAGAATAAAATGGGGTTAACCATGCGTTTTCTACAGCTCCCTGGCTGAAAGCTGGATACTCTGGGGGGATAGTTCTGTGTCATAAGGAAAGAGATGAAACACAATAAGAGGAGAGAATATGAACAAGCCCCCCTGGGCTTTCACTGAGAGGAGAGAGAAGAGAGAAAGAGGGAGTTTAGATTAGAGAAGTGGAAAAAGCAGCATGCATCCTCGCTGA